ACTTTATAGGCATTAGATAGTTTTTATGTTAAGTAACTTAACTTCTACAAACCTGTCTATTGTTATGCTTGGAGTTTTTCTAACTTAGAATCATTTAAATTTCTTTCTAATCTAGAAATATTGGTGTATAGGGGGTCAGTTTTTTCTTTTCAAAAGATGAACCAGTTCTAAATCAGCTTTCAACTTTTCAGCTGACCTTAGAGTCTACCATTACCATATTAGTGAATTACTAAATTTATATAAATATTATTCTGGCCCTTTCACTTCTGTTTTTAGATGTTTAAATTATTATAACTTTACAAATTATATCTGACAGGGCATGCAATCTCATTCATTACTTTTAAAACATTTTCTTAGTTAACGCAATATACTCGTTATTCCAAGAGAATTTGCAAATCATTTGATCACGTTCCTAGCTCTTCCTTTCATCAAAGAAAACACCACTGAGACTTGGATTAAAGTTGTATTATAAGTAGTTATTACTAATAAGAGTGCTGGCATGAAAATATGTGATCTTGGAAATTAGTATATCTCTATTCACTCAATTCTTTGTGTCTCAGAAAATTCTGAGTTACTTCAAGTTCAGCATCATTTTTCTAACTTATTCCATGGTACAATATATCAGTTGGTATAGGATCTCTTTATTCTTATTATATCAGCTCCTTGGATATAGTCATATTTGTATCAGCTTCCCCACTGTATATTATGTCTAAGGATTATTAATTCTTTTAGATTTTTGTGAGTACCTTGTGATATCTATAGTTATAGTTTCAGCTTCCCTCTCCCCCTACGACAAATTATTGCCTTTTATTTCATTTTCCTTATGCTATTGGTCAGAATGTCTAGAGTAATTGGGAAAGTAAGAGTCTTGATTGGCATTTTTTTTGTCTTGTTTCTGGAAATTCTTCTAGTTTTCCTATTAGTGTGATGTTGACTGTTGGCTAATATCTTTAAATTTCCAATTTATGAGAGGTTTTCAATTGGACTAGTTATTGTTTGTTAACTAAAGTAAAACCTATGCATATTAAAGAACTCAAACTATCTTACAGGGCTTCAAATGAAAATTGAAGAGAATTTATTTCATCCCTTCTATTTTTTCTTTTTCTCCATGGCAGGTTTTTTCTTTCTTCTCTTCTTCCCTCTCTTCGTCCCTTACTTGCTTTGTGTTCTTATTTGTTTGATTACCTAATGCCAAATTTTTAGGTCCACAAAGTTGGTAAACAATAGTATAAGATTAGTATAGAAGTTATTTATAACATATACAGTAAAGGTCTATTTCAAAATTATTTGAGGGACTCCTGCAAGGTAGTCAAAATACAGACAAGCAGATAGAAGTAGGAAAAGCATATGTAGAAGCAACTCTTAAGAAATGCAAGTGGAAAGATGTTTAATTTTGCTGATTGTTTAGACATACTTACATAAGGGGAATAGGAGGGTGAACATGGTACAAAAATGTGTACACATGTATATAAATGCAAAAATGATACCTATTGAAACTATGCCAAGAATTGGGGGGTAGGGATGAAGGAGAATGGTGGAGGGGGTGAATTCAAGTATGACATGTTCGATACATTGTAAGAATATTTGTAAATTCCACAATATACCCCCACCCAGCACATCAATAAAAAAATAAGTGGAACAAAAATAGTTTCTTCAGGTAAATAAGAAATGCAATTTATCTGTACATGGTTAGGTATATGAAGCAGACTCCTGGCAGCACCTCAGTATGGCAGTAAAATTAAGCTTCACAGGACACTATTTTCACCCTATAGTGAAGATGATTATTAAGTCCAGGATGATTATTCCTGGACCTTCGATAAGCCTGATTCCTTTCATTTTCAGTGGCAGGGTAGTTATGAGATATCTCTGGCCATGCTTCCCTGCTCAACAGGCACAAGGAACCTGCAGTAAGCCCAACAGGTACAACTCTACTACTGCTTCACATGAGTGAGTGTGGCTTCCTTCTCATATAGTACCACACTAGTCATCTTTTAATTTCCTGTATATTCTTCCCTAAAAGAGCTAGAATTCTATGAGGAGCCCAGATGAGATTGAAACACTATGTTGTTATAAGAAATAAACACTATTTTCGTAGATACCTGCAGGTTATGGCAAAGGAGCCAGATTGGAGGACTCTCACTGGTTGGTTGGTGACAATTTTGAGTATTTAAAAAGGAATAAAAACTTTAAGTTAATTGGAATGTGGAAGTTTGTAAAAGGTATAACTTCATGATATAATCAATCAAAGGGGGAAAACATTGAAAATATGCTAAGCCAGAATTTTTAATGCGGTCCAAGGAAATTACAGGGGGCTAAACTGAGAGAAAAATTGTTCTCACAGTATTACTAGAAATTTATATATATACATATAGCCTACACAAACAAAAAAGTTATTTGGAGCCTTCAATCTTTGAAAATGCAAAGGGACTCTGACACCAATAGTTCAAGAGCTGCTGTACCAGAGAAAAGTCAACCTTAGTAACGTAGGTTAATCGATTGGGTATTTATAAACAGGCAGGGGGAATCCTTAAGTTCATAAAGGCCATTGAGGATTTTGGCTCAAACATGTTCATGCTACTGATGAGTTTGAGAGGTGACTGTGGTAGTGGTTATGATTATTTTGTTCTTTGATATCTGAAATGCTCTGATGCACAGAGAAAGGCCTGTTGAACTGATATGTGGATGGTGTTGAGTCTTCAGTGACTGAGTGGCAATAGAAGTAGACTATAGAAGTAGACTGCAGCCAGACCTGAAACCTGAGCCTTCTAAGAAATGACAGATCTGACAAATGGCCTTTGGGTTCACCTGATCCTACAACCGTAATCACTGAGCAAAGGGCAGTGCTTGCTTCCTTTCTTTTTTAGTGGTACTTTGCTTTGTGAACAATCAGGTTATACTTTATAGAATGATTGGGATAGGTCAAAAACTTCCTGACAGTGCTGACAAAGAGCTTCTTAAAGCTCCGGATGTCCTCCTGCCAACCAGAGGCCAACACTGGCTAACGTTGCGGACACTTCAAGGGCTAACAAAGTTGAGAGAGAACCTGTACTTTCTGTTGTTTTCACAGTGCCTGTGATTTCTGTAATTTCTATTCCTTCCTTTTATCCTGTCTCATAAGTTTTTTCTTCTTTGTATATCTGATTGTATGTGGGGTTGGATGAAAGCCCCCCTCCCCCACATACTATAAATGTTACCATGTAGAGCTACAGGATATTTTGTATTCCATGAATATCCTTACACTTGGTAAATTATTTGGGAGTGGTGTAATATTTCTAAGGCTTGCTCATGAGGTTTGTTAGGTGGAATCATAGCAGCCTTTTAGTCAATTCATAAATGAGACCATACTCTCCTAATACTCTCCAGTGTCCATGAGTTTTGGTGTTTGTCAACTTTGGTGGTAAGGATACTTGGAGGAGTTCATTCCCTGGCAGCAAATGCTGCTCAGTACTCAGCTGAAGATTCAGGGACCTCTGTGGTATCTCCAGTTTACTGCAGCTTTCTCTTGTCTGAGGACTCACCTGTGAAACTCTAGTCTTCATGCCCTCAAGGACCCCCAATGCCTCCTCAACGTAGAGAGACCACATGGCTCCACCAGGAGTCCCCTACATACTCTGCGGTAGGGAATTCCTCTCCAGGCAGTCAGCTGGGAGTCATAGGGTTCACTTTGTCTGTCTTCTCTTAGGGAGCACTATCCTATGCACTCTGACGTTTAAAGCTTTAGCCTTGACACTTCATGTATCTCCTGTCCCTTTGCAGTTATTGCAGGAGAAAGGTAAAACTGGTCCCTGCCATTCTACGTTGGTCAGAAGCTGCTGAAGTTTTTAGAAATCCTTTACTTTGAAGCATAAAGCCCTTGGATATTGAAAGTCAGTTAAAATTGTCCACACAGCTATTTTCTGACCCATGATTAAAAATAACTGGTAAAACACCATGCCATTATTATTTTTTAAAAGTCTGATCATGGCTGAGATCCAGAGGAATCTTTCTCTTTTTTTTTATTCATATGTGCATACAAGGCTTGGGTCATTTCTCCCCCATGCCCCCACCCCCTCCCTTACCACCCACTCCACCCCCTCCCTCTCCCCCCCACCCCCTCAATACCCAGCAGAAACTATTTTGCCCTTATCTCTAATTTTGTTGAAGAGAGAATATAAGCAATAATAGGAAAGAACACGTGTTTTTGCTGGTTTAGATAAGGATAGCTATACAGGGAGTTGACTCACATTAATTTCCTGTGCATGTGTGTTACCTTCTAGGTTAATTCTTTTTAATCTCACCTTTTCTGTAGTTCCTGGTTCCTTTTCCTATTGGCCTCAGTTGCTTTTAAGGTATCTGCTTTAGTTTCTCTGCGTTAAGGGCAACAAATGCTAGCTAGTTTTTTAGGTGTCTTACCTATCCTCACCCCTCCCTTGTGTGCTCTCGCTTTTATCATATGCTCAAAGTCCAATCCCCTTGTTGTGTTTGCCTTTGATCTAATGTCTGTATATGAGGGAGAACATATAATTTTTGGTCTTTTGGGCCAGGCTAACAGAGGAATCTTTCTTGATTGACATGATGTGTCCTACTGAAAGTAATTCTATATCTTTTTGCACACCTGTTATTTTACTGGATATGTACATTTCCTTCCCTTTAAAGTTGCTTCAAAAAATTGTCATAAGCATTAATCTCAGTTCTGTCAGTGAAACCCATTTTTTTTGCATCAGTTCACCTTGTCTCTATTGGTATCAAGCAGTCTTTTATAAGATACAAATTTATTACTACTAAAATGTTCTTGAATACATTGAATATTCTCAGGAATCTTCCCCATTTCTTCCTTTTTTTCCCTTCATTCTTGGGGAAATACACCTAATTTTTCTTTTCTTCCCTGCCTATCTCATGCAGGGATATAAAGGAAAAACCATCAAATTATAATGATAAAGATTTTGTGGGTTTCAACTATTATCCATACATTTAAAATATGAATACAATGCTTTTGATTTAAAAAATTAATTTCTTTCCAGGTGATGTCGAGTGTGATTTGCTGTGCAAAGAAGAAATTATTGAACTAAAAGACATATTCTCTGTGAAACTGAAGCGGCGTTGCTCTGTTACACAGCGGAGAAGTGGTACTTTATTAGGTATCACACTTTTCATCTGCTTGAAAAAAGAGCAAAATAAGTTAAAGGATTCTACACTTGACCTTATCAATTTAAGTGAAGATTACTGTGACATATGGTTTAGACAGTTCAAGGAGATTCTGGCAGGTAAGTACTACTGTGGGAATTTTTAGTGAGCATACTTTCCTTAATGTAGATTTTTAATCAAAACCTGTTACATCTATGGGTACAAATAACATTTGATTATGTGAGGCAGTACTTTTCTATTTGTAGTTTATTGAATGTTTTTATCATGAGAGGGTATTGCATTTCATCAAGTGTTTTTTGTACATCAGTTGAGATTATACTTTTTCATTCATTCTGTTGATGTATAACACTGATTGATCTTCATGTCAAACCATCCCTGCATTCCAGGAACATGTCCCACTTGGTCATGGTATATAATTCTTTTAATATGTTATTGAATTGGTTTGCTAGTATTTTGTTAAGGATTCATGTAGTATTTTGTTAAAGATTCATGCATACATATTCATAAAGGATATTGATTTGTAAGTTTCTTTGTAGCATGTTTGATTTTGGCATCAGAGTAATCCTGGTCTTATAGAATGAGTTAGGAATTAGCTCTTGTATGACCACATTTATGAAGAAGCTTTGATGTAATATAACACAGTTTTAAAATAATTTAGTTCACTAGTGAGTTGTTTTTATTTTTTTAAAGAATGTTCAATTTTTATTTTTAAGCTACTCCAAGTTTTTATTAGCATAAATTAATTGTACAAAAAAGCATTTTATTGTGATATTTATAACAAATATATAATGTACTTTGACAAATTCACTCCATCTATATTACTCTTTCTGAGCCTCTGTCCTTCTTCCCCCTCCTTTATAACAGTTTTTAGTGGACTTCATTGTGCTATTTTCATGCATGTATGTATTTCTATAATATTTATGCACACACACAAGTCACCCTCTCCTTTTCCCCTCTTTCCATCTTCTAGTTCCTCTTCCCCAAAAAGTTTCCCTGTTACAATCATGTCTTATGTTTTTTAGTCCTATATTCAGCAAAGACATGTGAGTTGTTTTTAAAAGCATTTTTATTTTCTTAAATTCATCTCTCTCAAGTTTGTTTTAGAACTTTCCTTCCATCCACATATTCATAGCAGGTGCACATATGTACATGGCACTTGAAAATAAGAACTTTTTGAAGATAATCTTAAAGGGGCCATGCTTTATACTGTGCCAACTAAGAGTTGTTTATCTTAGTGTGGATTTTTCTAAAGTTTAATAGTTAAAACTGTGTTTATTAGAATATCTCTCATAATTAACTCAGTGCATCTAAAATTTTAAGTGGCATTTTTATATTTGCATGCTAAATAAAATAATAAACTAATACAATGCAATCTGGATTTCTAGAAGCCATTTCGTTAAAATATAATATGATTTTCAGATTTTTTTCCCCCTCATAAGTTTGCAAATGTTGCTTGTTTTCTTTTAGTCCATTCCTTCCTCTTTTGCCTGATTGATCAGAGTACAGTCAACGAGAATAATTGATGGGTTAGTTTGGGATTGGATGACTCTGACAAAGATGGGTACCAAAGTACAGACTCCCAGTGATGTGTGTCAGACACAGCATTATTAAACAAGGAGATATTGAGAACCCATGGTGGTCAATGGTAGGCAGCCACTAAGATTATGCCCACAGAAGATAAACTGAAGTGGCTGCACTGAACCTGGGAGACCACATTACTAAGTAGCGCAGGCTTCCTTGGGACCTTCAAAGAAATGTGATTCTTTCAAGAGGTCAGACACTCACAGAGTCCATGGTTTAGTTCATCTCTCTGAAAATAAAGAAAACATGTGGCATTAACTAAAGTGTTCTACTCCACCAATGAGTATTTTACACTGTTATTTCAAATTCATGTTAAAAGAGATAAAAAGTTAAAATGAAAACTTAGTAATTTCAATTTCGTTAAATTTATTAACATGACTAGGTATTCATAAAACTTGCCTGCTCTATAAAACAAGAAGGTGTACTTTGCTTAGTAGAGTTAAACTGTCCTTTGCACTGAAGATCTGAGAAAATTTCCCAGGAGGCTAATGAAGAGCTGGCAGAAGCAACTTCTTTAATATATCTTACCTATAAAACCAAGAGCAAGTAAGCCGTGGACATCACAACCAAGCTCAATTCAGTAAAAGCAATTTTACAGGAGTAGAGGGGATTGTCAAAAACAAAAGCCTCCCAAACACTGTCCAAATAGCATAATTAATGATGTTTTGGTTTGATTTAGGGTTAAAATATAGACAAAGTAGAGAGATGAATGAAATATTTATCTTCCAGGCTTTTATCCCCTGAGAATGTCACTGTTTTGTTTTTTTTTTTTTGATTTTGATTTAGATGAGAGTTGGATACAGTAAAATTTCTAGGATTATATTGGTCCTGGAGTAGAGTTATTTTGATGATTAAAAATGAATAGATTGAATTTGAAAATCAACCAGTGAAAACAGACAATGTGGGGTTGAAATCCTGTGATGAAAATGTATGCTTCTAACCAAGAGTTCTGAATAAGTGACTGCCCCACTTGTGCACCCAAGTGAACACAGGCAGTCCTAGAAGAGGAGCCAAGTTCTCCTTATCCCTTCCCTCAAAGACCGTTCCTGGCCATTTTTATCACACACAAGTGAATGTTCCAGGCTTCAAATCTGTCTGCCAATTGTTACAGTATGTCAGCAATTCCTTTTTAAGACCATTAACCTTTATAAGGTAGTTTAACTACAAAGTAATCTCAGCATTTCTTAATATTTATTTCACTCTCAGATCCATATACTATTGAGTATTCACTGAAGGACCTGTCATCTGAAAGTCAAACCTCATTCCACAAGTGGAAAAAGCCCTGTGTCCCTCCAGCCTCTCTGGGCTCTCTGTTGCCCCCTGCCCATTTCCTGGTTTTCTCTGGCTCTGCTTTTCTTGGAGTTAGGGCTATGTGTGAATTATCTTCCTACCGTATGTCACTATCTGAACAGCATGGAGGCTGGACTGATGGTGATTGTTTACTGGTCAGCACAGCCCCCACTCTCCCACCTAAAGAAGTAGTATTTGCAGCTAACTGAAGTTTGGGGGTGATGGATAGAGAAAAGTTCACATCACAAAAATATATATAAATCTTACAATTAAATATTAAATATATCCATTATAAGATCAATGACCTTGCTTTTAACTGGTTCTGCAGGTGAAGCTAGGTTGTTTTTAAAAATTGCATTGACATATTTAGAATTTTTGTCTTTACTTAGCAAATGGGATTTTTTTTCTGCCAGCCTTTAAATTTCCTCCCCTTTTTTCTTCTAATAAGAAAGTGATTGGTCTTTCAGTCTAATCAGTCTAAAAATTTTAGTGTAGTTTTTAAAGTTTGTATACTGAGTTATTTTTAAATATGCATAATTTTTCTTTGACTCAGATCAATGAATAAAATATGAATTTTAAAGGAAAGAACAAATTGGCAGCACTAGGAAGAAGAAAGCATCTTTCAAATATGTGACATTTTAAGACTAATTGTCAGAGTGACCAGATATTTATGTTCTTTATAGGTTTTATAGAGTCTTAGAATTCTGCTCTGATCTGAAAATGAGTTACTCCTTTCTTGTCCCTTTTTTTTGAGATAAGATCACATTATGTAGCCCAGACTAGCCTAGATTCACAATCCTCCTGTCTCAGCCTCCTAAGCACTGGGATTATAATCATGTGCCACCAGGTCCTGCTTTGTTTTTCTCTATTACTTATAGAAAAATCATCTTAACTTTATGACGAGTAGGCAATTTAATATGGTCCACTCATCCAACACACAGTCTGTGTTGTTAATGTTGGCAATACAAAAATGAAGGAAATATACTCCTTCACAGAACTGTTTTTGCCCTGAAGACAGGCAGGACAACTCATTGTATTAAAAAATGTATTAAGGGTACAATGAAGATAGGAGCAAATAGGGACCACAACCAACAGTTATTGATTCAGAAATTCAGATCTTTAAAAAAAGCAGTTAAGACTGCTTGTAGTCATTGTAGTGAAAGTAACTTAGCATGGTGGTTTCTGCTTTTGTATGGACCTATGGCACAAAGATAAATATGCATGACTTTTAAGAATAGTATATGTGTACTCTAGATATGTTAACTTTCATTCAATTAGGGCATGATCCAGTTTCTGCGTATTTGGGTTTCCTTGAAATGTTGACTTGCAATCTTCTCTGGGTCCTATACCAACCTTTCTTCTAGAAGTAACATCTAGATTTTAGTGGCTATTCATAGACTGTCTGGCAAAAGTACTCAGAAGATGATATTCAGGGCCCTTGGAAATTGGCAGAAGTCTACAGAAGCAAAGAAAAAGATTTTTTAAGAAGCAAAATAAAAGCTTTAAAGCATATGCTTAAGTGACTCAGAGAGTAAACAGGTATAGTGAAATGAGGACACCTATTGATTTCAAGGGAAGTGTTCTTTTCTAGGCACACATTTGGGATATATTACAGATTCCTGTTGAAGATGGTGTCTCCCTGGCACCTGGAAAAGAATTTATGAAGAAGTGAACAAGAGGTGATGTGACAGGGATAGATGAAAGCTTGGAGGAAAGTAATGTTGAATTTTTTAAAAAATCAGAGAATGAAATGCAGAATCTTAGGAGGATACTCACATGAAAATGTAGAAGAAAAAAGCAGAAGGAATGATCAGAAATCAGAAGAATCCTCATAACATAGGGTTATTGAAATTTTCTTGTTATATTTACATTTTGCTCTTTTAGTTCTAATGTTTAATAGTTACCCAGAGACATTAACAATGACATTTAGATGAGCTACTTCTGATATGTGTTTTCGTTTCATTTCTAAATGCTGATTTTATGAAGTAGGGAAAAGTAAATGAGCCAGATTTATTTCACTCACTTTGTCCTTGCAAGGTAGCCTGTTCTGTTATTTCAATAGCCTTGCTCCTTTCAGATATAAAGCATAAAGAAAATGGAAAAGTTACTTAAAGATGTGTTTTTTATTCCTACAAAGAATAATTTTCCCTAACTTGCCATTAGATGTCAAATCTGTGTCCTTCGATGTTGGTCTTCACGGGATGCTGTCCTCAGGAGCAAAAATCAGGTATTCTTGAAATGCTGATTT